ATATGATTACGATCTTTTTTATAGTTTTTTCATTGACGATTATTATATCATTGATACTTGAAAGCATAATGTTTTGTAATTAACTTTTATAATTTACTTGATAAAGTAAAATTAAAATATAAAAATCAAAATATATCATTCAAATATCTTAATTTTAATTTTAATCTTTTTTTTTATCACGTTATTACAAATAAAACTTAATCGAAACTAAATCGAACAATCTATAAAACTATAAATATTATCTTAATCATAAAACAAATAGTTTCATTCGATATAATAACTAGAACAAAATTGTTATTAGAAAATTTTTGAAAATTTTTATTCCAAAATGACACAACTTACAATAATTTCGTATTCCCTGTTCATCTTAAAAAAAAATAAAATAATAAAATTAAAGTACATACAAAAAAGCGAGGCTTCAAGGAAAGAGATAAAAAATTCATCGATCATTCTTGGTGAAGTTTCATTTCGGTCACGAAATCTATTGGCGCCATCCCACGTTCCTTCTTCTGTTCGCTCCTCGAGGATGCCTGACACGTTCCTGAATCCGAATCTCGTGTTTGTACGGCCTATTCATGGCGTAGACATAATCGTGGCGTGGCTGCATAACGGTAAAAACAGATCGGCGTGCATTCACTTTTCCCCGTTCGAAGCGCGTGCAGTTTCTATCTCATATACATACATGCGTATATATGAGCGCAGACGAAGATCGCTGTAGGCAATATCTTTTAAAACTGACGAGTCGTCGATTCATCCAGTCATCATGTACAAATAACTGATGGAATTATCCTTTCGTGCTGAAAATGGAACCGATCTGCATCTGTCTCGATTCTTTTGATTTCGAGAGCGGAAGAATACAAAAGTTGTATAATATTGTGGATCACAAATGAAACGGTATATAAAGTATAATTATTGAGATTCAACGCGAATTATAAAGAAATAAACAATTGAGAAACTTTCTAAAATTTTTATTAGAACTTTCAGTTTTTGCTATTTAAATTTTTTCTAATTTTTATTTCTTCATTTTACATTATACAGAATTGTCTTGTAATTTATGATTTACAATCGTGATATTATAAAAATAGAGTTATTATAGCAAATTTTTAAATTTTTGCGCCATCCATGAAATGTGAATTAAAATTAAGGATTAAATTAGGTTGCAATTTATCTTTTTCTGTGTCAAAAATTTTTAAAATAATTTAAAATAGAATTTTTATGTGATTTAGTTTAATTTAGAAATGAAATAAAATTAAAATAGAATCTGTTTTTTTTTTTTTAAATTCCAATATTTACCTTTATGCAGAATAAAATTTGGTAATAATTAAGCATTATTTGTTGGAATTTCGAGCAAAACTGTATACTATTTATTAAATAAATTTCTGGAATGTATAAATGCCATCTAAGCAAGTGGCATCTATTAAAGTTGAAAAGTAGGCTAACATACCGGCTGAAGATGATTCAATGCTCGAGTGAAAGCTCTAACAACCAAAGCTGAATGCAAACTTTGTGACATATCTATTTACATATGTATGTATTACATACATCCTTTCTAGATTCTAATTTTTTAATAAATTTTTATAAAATTTTACAGAATATTCTTAGAATATTTTATAATATTAGAATATTCTTTTCTTTTAAGTAGATCCTTATTTTCTACTTATAATATTATTAATGAAATTTTACAAAATTCAAATTATCAGAATATTTGTAAAAAGAAATTTACCCTTTAATTTATTAATATTATTAGTTATTATTATCAATAATTAATATTATTTATTTTCTAAATTTTATTACAGACAATCATTTAATTCTAAGCCAAAAATTCTCTATCATCTTACATTATTCTATATTATAATCTTACATTTTTTATGTAAAATTTTTTTCTTTTAAAATATATATTTTACGTTGCATTAACTATGGAATGAATATTAGGCTGATTACATTTTAGTATACATATTTATATCTTCGAAAAAATTTAATAATGTAATCTTATGGCATCAGATTTGATTCCTGTCTTTGTATCTTTCTCTTTATATCTACATTCATAGAATATGTAGTTAATTGTCAGTTATACTTACATAATCATTTCATTTTCAGACGATTCCGGTGTGTCAAGGTTCGAGGGGAAGGTGACGAGCAGGTTTCAGACGAGAATCTTCAAGATACCTCGAACGAATCCGGCAAGAAACCTCGTCGACTAAAACGAACATGCTTGTTATAGACTATCGTCAAAGGCATCCTTGTTGGAGGATGCTGCTCGCCATCGTCATTTTGTCCGGCCTCATTAGGTATAGCGAACCAATGTCGACGAAGAGGTTAACAGACTCATCATCTTCATCATCATCGTCATCGTCGTCCACGTTATCAAATTCCGGCGAATCGAGGTCACAGAATCTTGGCTCGCCAAGCGATCTAGCCTGGCAAGCTTGGCTCCTTCTAGATCATCAAACAGGAGGTCATTCCAGCTTAGATTCAGCAAGTTTCCTCAAACGGATCACACCGAAAAGTGTGTTCATCGCGCCAGAGCTGCCAGCTTTACCGCCCTGCGCTGACGGTTATCGTGCAGATACGATGGGCAGGTGCGTGAAAATCGTGAACATCGATCACGAGGCTCACCTTGGTTTCCTTCTTCAACGGCTGAACAATCGATACGGGAACCGAGGTGGCAGCTCCGAGGCATTTAACAATAATAAAAAAAAGTCCAGCGGCCCGTTGCAGTTGAATATCCCTCTGTTTTCCATGACCAGAGAAACGATAAACAGACCAATCGTGGTTCCTTCCCAAAAGGACGTCATCGTGGCTCAAAAGAATGTAGAAGAGAAAAAAGTAGAAGAAGAGGTAATATTTTATCGACAAATTTTCTTTATCATGTATATTTATTAACTGTAAGTTAGAGAATATATCATATAGATAGGATTAATATATAAATAGGATAAATAGGATTTGCACAAATTCTTCCCTTTTTCATGTTCATTCTTTTAATGTTCATTTTTCTTTCATTCAATGTCAATTATATTAACATCATTGTTATTATTATTATATATTATATTTTAAAGGTAATAATTTAAAGTATTTGAAATATAATTTAATTAAATTGTTACAGGTAAAGAAAATAGAAGAAGACATAATGGAAAACATGGAGGAAGAGATAAAGGAAGAGCAACCGTTGGAATCTCTGGTTATGTATTATCAGACGAAGAACAACAACGAAGAACAAGAAAACGAGGACAATGTTTCTCGTGAGAATACTACCATTTCTGACGAACCTATTAATGAACCTTCCGACGAACTATTTGAAGAGGAAGATCAGAATACTACTATTCGTGATCAGAGTACAACTATCCACGATCAGAGTACAACTATCCACGATCAGAGTACTACAATCCACGATCAGAGTTCTACAATTCACGATCAGAGTACTACAATCCATGATCAGAGTACTACAATCCATGATCAGAGTACTACAATTCACGATCAAAGTACTACAATCCATGATCAGAGTACTACAATTCATGATCAGAATACTTTCATTTATGATCAAAGTACTACTGTTTATGATCAAAGTACTGCCATTTATGATCAGAGTACTAGTACCCATGATCATAGTACTACCATTCACGATCAAAATACTACTATCTATGATCAAAATACTACCATCCACGATCAGAATACTACCATTCATGATCAGAATACTACCATTCACGATCAGAGTACCACGAGTCATGATCAGAGCATTACGAGCAATGACCAAAATACTACCATTTATGATCGAAGTATTACCATCCAAGATCAAACTACTGTGCGTTCCTCGTTAGAAATTCCATGAAAAAAATATGGATTTGATTGGTTATTCGAATAGACCGAATATATACAATCATAAAAGTAGGAATGCCTATTGATCAAAAGTCTTGCATCTACAAATAAGACCATGTAGCACTATTTATCGGTGTACAATATTTCCGTACACATGTACCGTCCCGTGAGATCTATGAGGCATACATATACAAATACTACCATCCATGATCAGAGTACATACTACATATTATCCGTGATCAAAACAAAGTTAGACGTTATTCAAATAATATTTCAAATAAAATTTTCGAATAAATCTTAATAAATCGAATAAATGGAAGTCAATGATCTATCGACATGCATTTTCCAAATAATTCTTCTTTCTCAATTAAGAATTCATTCAGTCTTCTATCATATATCTATCATTCAGAATTCATCTCGCACACGTATATATATATACATATTGGAATTGGAATTATCTCAAAAATATCATCAATCATAATGCTTTTCTAAAAAAGCAAAACCTAAAACCCTTTTTCTAAAAAGTTTTTAAATTCTACGATGTTATTGGAATAACGTTTAACCCTGCGATAACTCTTTTATACGAAAATATGCGATAGAATGCATGCAATTACGGAATGAAAAAATTATTATTGTCATTAACAAAATCTATCGATATATCCTTTGGATTTTTATAAGAAGATAAAATTATATATACGTGTGATTATATCACGTACGAAATTAAAAAAAAAATTATAAATTTGACATCGCGGCCAGTAATTTTTTTTACTGCTCTACATATGCTTCGATGTGGTGTGTAATCTCTTTTTCTCATGTATTTGAATGTTAATTCGTGTACATATTAATTTTATTAAGAGAAATTGTATATACATTACATAATTAAGAAGCGTCATCAGCGTCTTAACGTGTATTAATTGTAACTGTATAAAAATATTATTGTATTATTTATAGCTAAATATATCGATGTATATTATACATTGTCGTGTCGTATCATGTAGGAAGTATTCTTAGATCGCAAAACAGAAAGAACGTATAAAAAAATCATTCGATATTGGTTTTGCGCCAAAATATCATGCTTTGTTATTATTTATAACCTGTCCAGGCATGATAAGCGATTATGTTACAAATCATTTTATTCATTAAGCATTTTTTATTGTACATAACTTAATTGTTAAAGAAACTGCATGTTACGTTGTAATTGTAATTTTTTATTGTACATAACTTAATTGTTAAAGAAATTGCATGTTACGTTGCATTACTGGATGTACTTTTTGTCCCTTTGAATTCCCGAGCAATAAGAAACTTCTCAGTAGACTCATCTCTTGTTGCTTTTGGTCTTATATTTTTTACATATTTAAAAAATTTTGTCAGATCTTTCTCCAATTGTAAAGATTTCTTACCATCCCATAGTTTACAAACAAATATTCCATTTATATGAATAATTTGTAAAGCAAATTTTAAAGCACTATATACAAGTTGCATTATATTCTCATGATCTAAATCTTTTATACCAGATGCATTTGGTGCCATATCTGATAAAAATACATTCACTTTTCGACCATTTAAGATGTTCAAGATTTTATTTTGAGATGTTGCAGCCGTAAAATCCATACCATTTAATAAAGTTGCACCTTCAATAGGATAAATTGGTTGTTTATCTATTCCTAAAACAGTTCCAATAGCATTTTTTTGTTTAGCATTTGCATTCGTGAATTTAACAGCAACTTGAGTCCAACTGCCAGGAGCAGCTCCACAATCAATTACAATTTTTCCTGGTGTCAATATCTTAAATCTTTCATTAATTTCTAACAATTTATATGCACTTCTACATCTATAATTTTCTCGTTTAGCCAATTCCACATAAGGATCTTGTATTTGTCTTGTAAGCCATAATTGTGAACTATGCTTTTTTCCTTTTAAATTTTGTGGTGTTTCTCGAAATAATGTAGAATAAGTATGTAAATTCCTTATTATCAAAAATTTTCTTGAATAATAATTCATGATATAACCTAACTTAATAATAATTTTATGTATCAAATTTACATATATAGATTGATCATTTTCTTATTTTGAATAATTTTTTATTATTCAATTATTTATTATACAAGACAATTAATAAACATTGTGCTTTGAATAAAATTATAACATTTAACAATTTTAAATAAAACTTTTTACATATATGTACTTACAAATTACGATCCGGTTTTAGTATCAGCTGATTAATACAGAAGAATACGCATGCGTAGAAACTCTATGATGGTGACGGAACTTCGTAGTTACAAAAAGTATCTCATGTGCTTGCCGGCGAAGATGTGATAGAATTCCGTGACTAAATGATCATATGAGCGAATGTTGCGATTAAAGAAGTGATTTACGATGAACCTAACTACAGGGAATCCTCACGGTAATGGCTTGCTTTATGCTGGTTTCAATCAGGATCAAGGTATGTGACCGAGTGTACTACATTTGACAGTCCGGTCATGTACTGTCAAATTTATTTTTTTACTTCTAACCTGTATATCTAATATTCTTATTTCATAAATTTATTATGATTATTTTTTTTTATATAATTGATATCGTTTTAATATAAAAAAAATATATTTTCAATAGACGCCATTTGTTCAAAATAATTAAAATAAAAAAACTTATAATCATTTTTTTTTAACCTTATTCTTGTAAGATCATAATGAATTTAATAATAAATTTGTTATAGATATGTTTTTTAAATATATTTATATATTATATTTCATTCTATTTTAATTATTTAAATTTACTTTAGCTATTATTCAAATTATCTTTTAATTACATTACATTATGTATTTTATTTATGAATATTGATTTATTTTTCTTTATAAATATAAATTAAAAAAAATTGCTTGTAAATCTATTGATATATAAACATATTTTATTCAACTTATTAAGCAATTTATTATTATAATCCATTCATTCTTTTATATTCTTTTATTTATGTATCATATGATATGATATTTCATAAAGAGTTACGTGATAATTATTCAACTGTAGTGGTTTATCTTCTTAATTTTCTGTGTGTTTACATTAATATATATCTTAAATAAGAAACATGTATGTTTCAAATACTATATTGTGATCCTAAAGAAAAAATATATCTATATACATGTAATGCAAAAATAGATAATAATATCTTTATTGTTTGTGTAATCTTTTCACTTGTAGGATGTTTCGTTTGTGGTATGGAAAATGGTTTCAGAGTATATAATTGTGATCCTTTAAAGGAAAAAGTACGCCATTTCAGTGATGGAGGTCTTGGTTATGTGGAAATGCTGTTTAGATGTAATTATTTAGCATTAGTTGGTAGTGGAGCAAAACCCATGTATCCAACAAATAAAGGTAAAATGTTATATTTTTTTTTTACTTTAAAATAAATAAAATAGATTATTTATTATATAATATATTTCAGTTATGATATGGGATGACCTTAAAAAAAGATCAGCAATTACTTTAGAGTTCAATGCTCCTGTAAAGGGTGTTAAATTAAGGAGAGATAGAATAGTAGTAATTTTAGAAGGAGTTATAAAAGTTTATACATTTACAAGAAATCCACAACAACTTCATGTGTTTGAGACTAATCCAAATCCCAGAGGTCTGTGTGTTTTATGTCCAAATAGTAGTAATTCCTTGCTTGCTTTTCCTGGTAGAAAGAATGGACATGTCCAAGGTAAAATTTTAATAAAAATTTTAAATAAAAACCTAGCTTTATTAGCTTTATTACATAAAATATCTTTCTTTTTTTTTTATTGTTACAGTAATTGATTTGGCTAATACAGAAAAACAACCATTAAATATCGAAGCACATGAAACACCTTTATCATGTATTGCTTTAAACTTACAAGGTACTAGATTAGCTACAGCTTCAGAAAAGGGCACTTTGATAAGGGTATTTGAAACACAAACTGGAAGTATGATTAATGAATTGAGAAGGGGAGCTAATCATGCAAACATTTATTGGTAAGCAAAATAAAAACATTAAAAACAATTATTTACTAATATAAAATAAAACAGTACGATTCTATTATGGTAGCATTAATTTCAATCATGATTCCACTTGGTTGTGTGTGGCAAGTGATCATGGAACTGTACATGTTTTTGCTGTAGAAGATCAAAAATTAAATCGTCAATCTAGTTTAGCATCTGCCACTTTCCTGCCAAAATATTTTAGTTCAAGCTGGAGCTTTTGTAAATTTCAAGTTCCGGGTGGTCCACAATGTATGTGTGCATTTGGAACTGATAATAATAGTATTATAGGTGAGTATTATAGTATAATGTAGCAATATAAATACTTAAGCAATTTTGATTTTTCATAACAGTATTTTTTTTATTTTTGTTGCAGTAATATGTGCAGATGGTAGTTATTATAAATTCGTGTTTAACAATAAAGGCGAATGTACGAAAGAATTTTATGCACAGTTCCTCGAATTAACGGACGATAAAATGTGATTGGAAAATAAAGAAGAGGTAAATTCTTTAAACTTTCTTAAAAATTTTATATAATCTAAATAATAAATATTTTTAATGTTATATTTTTAGTGTCCTTTGGGTGAGTTCACATAAAATAAATTATATGGAAAGTGAGTACTGTGTTTGTTATTTGAAGTCATATATGTAGAGGACCAAATGGAAAGTACTATTATTTGTTGGTGTTATGTGCACTGTGCGAAACTATTGATCATAACAAAAAAAAAACTTTAAGAAACACTAGAGGGCCTATTATTGAGATGTCTATTTATGGAACTATAAGTTCTTAAATGTTACAAAAAAAAACTCGATTTTAGAGTTTTGCTTAACGTGTCAATGTAAAAAGTAATTTTCGTACATTTAAATTAAATAATTTTTAGCTAAAGCTGATGCAAATATACGAATAATATCATTTTGAAAGTAATCCAACAATTTTCAATGGCGCATTATGCTCGGCGATTAAATCATGGTATTTTTTTATATTTATTTTATAAAATTATAAATTTGTTATTTTTTTTATCGTTACAAAAATGCTCGAATATATTTCATATTGCGTATTTCGTGTCATAAATGTTACAAATTAATGTAATATCATGAAATTTGGCTAATTATTGAAATTAAAATTTTTTTATTCGATAATTAGCCAAATAAAAAATGGGACGTATATAACGTAATCGAATTTTTATAATCTTTATTTTTATGGTTTCATACATTTAATATACATATACACAAGAAATAACTACATTCAGTTATTATTGAAATATTACCCCAAAATGTCACAAGATTGTAATGTCATAAAGAAATTGGGATCTAATACAAAATAAAAACATTATGAGACAAAACATTGTATTTGTTTGTAAAATATAAATAATATGATCAGTTGCAAGCGATCTATTTCATTTTCTATCCTTTTCGAAAGGTTGTGCGAAACTTGATAAAAAAACTTACGCAACATTAGTAATTATAATTCAGTCTTACAGAAAGAGAATGCATGTTGCGTAAATTTAAGCTTTTCGACCTAGTATCTTGTTGATAATTAAAAGAATTTTACATTTTGTTATAAGAATGATAAAAATAAAAAATATATATATTTATATTACGATATATGCGTCGCCGCATTTCGATATGCAGTTTAGATTTACATTTTTTTAAGAATAATTATAATTATTCTCTGTGCATTGTTTAAGATATTACTAAAAAAACAACACGAATTTGTTAACAATTAATAACGTACGAACAATAAGTAACATGTATAATAATACGAAAGCAAGCTTTTTGTACTGCAAACTTCTTTTGAGCTTCTGTAAAATGAAATGTCTTTGTCGTGTTATGTATAGAAGTAATATGCACAGTGTTTTTTTCTAATATAAGTTTGTCACGTGTTCTTGTTCACTATTTCAACCTTTTAATTTCTCTTTTTTCGTCAAAAATGAAACACATTCATATTTGACTAAGTTATAAAACTTTAGATGACAAGATTTAAATCATAGGCCTTGTCGTCTGATTTTAAAATTTGTTTAAAAAACACTGTCATTTTAAGAATATCTTTCGATAATAAGAGCTCTTCGTCATCGATTGCGCTCTTTCACAATCATTATAAATCCGATTTTCTATCGCTACCAGCATAGTATTTTTAAACTTCGAACGGTTTGTTCGCGTTTGCCTGAATGGCTTTCGATTTTTGCACGACTGGAATTACGGGATTTTTCTTCACATCGTGAAGAACGTGAGTCAATCCCTTTTTCGTCTCGAGACTTTTGTAACTACTATAGACGACGAACCATACGTAAGAACTAGTGATTACGAGAAAGAGAACAATTATACCTGGAAAAAAATGATATTCAAGAATGATATAAATCTAAACTTCTAATAAAAATTGTTCAAGAATGTATTTTTAACGTATTGGATTAAAGTATATGAAATCGTTATTAGAATTTTAATATTAATAAGCAAATATGTAGTTTTAAGTTTTGTCTAATATTTAATTGTTTTAATTATAAAAAAGTTGAAAGTTATAAAAAACTGTTAAAGAAAAAGAAATTTATTATAATATACGTATGTTGATATTTTATTAATTAAAAATAATTTTTAATTATTAATTATTTTTCGCTTGATTTTTATATAAATTAACTTGAAAATATAATATAAAGTTATTGAAAGTATTTAACATTGAAAAAATTTATATATGTATCAATAATACCTCATTAAATTAAGATTAAAAATCTAAAAATTATTATCAACAATGATACAAGAAATCAAGAAAAATAGAAACAATCACGTCATTCTTTAAAAAAATAAATAAGATGAATTTGAAATTTCATCTTATTATTTTATATTTATGATTTATCATTTTTCCAAATCATTAGATTTTTTATTATGTTTCACATATATTAATTTAATAATTTAATATTTGATAATTGTGATTGAATTTTGATTTTTTTTAATTTATTTATCAACTTACGTTCACAAATATCAGCTTTGCCACCGAGGGTAGCAATAAACGGACAATCTTGTTGTACCAAGAACAAAGAAATTGTCAAAGCTGATATTATTGTCATCATGATCATCATCCAGGGTGTCATAAAATGACGATTATTCTATGGGAAGAAAAAACTTATTTTATCATCGAATTATTCTTATATATGGCAACATAAAATGTAATTACCGTGAGTGCACCATACAAAAGTAGAATAGTGGAAATAAAATGTATCACTGTGATCACTAATCCACAATACATCGAATAAACTGTTTCTAAAAATATATAATAAATCTTTAGTATAAAAAACTCGAAATACATAAACCGAAGAATAAGAATAAAATAAAAATGTTGACCTCTTAAGAAATTTATTAGTTTTCCATTCAAGCATAATTTAAAAAAAGTTTCATAAGTGTATTTTTCTCAAACAAATATTTTCTAATTTCTATATTCTAATCTGTCTATATTATTTATTTTTTTCAATGACTCAAAATATATTTTAAATTAATTATTAAAAAAATATCAAATAATTTTATTTTTTTATGATCTTAATAAATTTCTTGAAGAGGTTAATTATATAATTGAAAAAAGTTTTCTTTTTATATAAGATTAGAATGTAATATATTTGAAATCATCATAAGATTATAAACACCAGTTGCATTATGATGTGCCATATCCATTTTTCTGGTATTTAAATGATTAGACGATATATCTTCTAAGGCTTCCCTTTCGAGAGCGTCTTCTGTATCTCTTACCACCATTTCTTGAATTCCCATCGCATGTGCTAATGCTAGCACGAAAAATATCATACTAAACCCGGATGTAAACTGCATTAAAAAAAAGAATGTAATTAATTGTATCAATTTGTTATGTAGTTATTATAATTAAATATATGTAGTTAAATATAATTAAATAATAAGTCATATTTACCAATTGAAATACAGCTATCAACACTGTACCCTGTTGCAGGTTGAAATAATGTAAGAAAGTTTTCAACAGTCCCACTTTCATTTTGTCTATCTTTTTTTTAATAATTTCCTACAATTATTATTCCTAAAAGTAAAGAAAAATAGACATCAACAAAATTTTTATCAATCCTAAACATTATTCAAAGTTTTATTATTTAAAAATAAGTTCTCAAACAAAATAAATTCACGAAATTCTTCAATTATCAGAAAAATTAGTAAATGTGCAATTAATATTGTACAAAATTCAAGTTAATTATGTTAAATTAATTATATAAAAAACTAATGTAATAATAGAAATAGTAAACAAAAGTAATAGAAATAGTAACAAAAATAATTACAAAGATTCTTCATTCTTCAAACGGGCAAAATTCAAAAATCTTGCTACCATTTCGTTTAAGATGCAACAGTAACAATAACATGAAGGAGGAAAAAAGTGGAAAGAAAAAATGTCAACTGTAATCAGATTCGCAATTCGGTCGCTTTCGATTTGATGTTCTTACTCACCCCGCGGAAAAAGGAGCACGAAATATCACTGAAACGTAGTTCACAATATGAATCAATAACTTTCACTGTTTCTTGCTTATACAAAAGCAAAATAACTGTTAAGCGAAATACTATCACGTGAAGGATGGAGGAATAGGAACGTGGGTATATCGTCCTCTTTGATAGCCTCGTATGAGGCTTTTGAAAGAGAACTTGAATTTAAAGGAATGTCCGTTTGTGTGCGCTCAACACACGAAACGCGAGTTTAACTCATCTAGGGGGTAAAAACGTAACCTCTAGCTATAGATTGTACGGCATGCGCACCACAGACCAATCCAATACCGCATCCTTCAAGGTGCATCCGTTCTCAATTGATCATTGATTGCTACTTGTGCAAAATGATTAATTTTCAATTTCGTAGATCTGAGTTAATAAAAGAAAATTAGTTTCGAATCTTATGAATTCGTGATTGAAAGTGTTTTAGTTTGAAATTGAGTATTATAGATATATCTCTATGGCTGAAAATCAATTTTATATTTCTATTTAAATTCTATTCAAATCTTCTATTATCAAAAATTATTTTAAAAAATTAAATTTAATTTGAAATTATAAAATTATATTTTAAAAATTATATTTCATTGTAATCTTCGGAATTTTCTACAATACAATTGATTTTCCGCGTTCTATATCTAATAATCATTAATAATAATAATTTTTAATCTATATTTTTCTATAATATTGATTTCAGATATGAAAATTATTTATTTTTATTTCAGAAATTAAAAGATCACTGTTTGACTCATATTATGAAGATATTATTTTATTATATAGTTATTTTTAAGTAATGTCACAAAATATTAAAAACTAATAATAGTAGAAAATTATAAATAGAAAATATTATTCTTTAAGTGATAAGATCAATTTTCATATAAATGTCTTACTTTATTGCTTATATATTTCTTTTATGTATGGATTTAAAATACAATTTTAAAAAAATTGAAATGAGTAATTAAAAAGAGATAAATATTTTGAAAATATCAAAACATTTTATGAAATGTTAAAATACTTTATTAAAACAATATTTTGGAAATTGTACTTTCAAATATAAAATAGGAAAATATTATTTATAATATTTTATTCTTAATAAATTTTTTTCTTTTCCATACAATTCAATTTCTATCATTATAAGACATTACATATAATTAATATTCTATTAACGTTTTATATTTTTTTAAAGAATTCACAATCGTTCCAATTGGAACGAATCGCTGATACTTATATTTACGACATAATATCATTGAAATAAATTCCATTTAAATTATTTATTGGCAATGTCGCGAAACTTTTGAATCGCAGTTCGAAAGTTGGTTCGATTGAGGTTGAATCATTTTCAAATAGTAGCCATAGAAACGCGGATTCTTTATTCTCGTTTGTATCGCGTTTGTCTTTTTCTCTTGGCACGAATCGTGACAATCCGTTCGAAGCTATTAAACCATGTTCACGTGTTGATAGCCTCAATATTTAATCTTTACAGGAGGTTAAAAAATGGATCGAAAATATCAGAAAGTGGAAATGGGAGTAGGCGCGTTTCATCACCCACCAAGAGCGAGATATAGCGAGGAAACAAAAAATTTAATGAAGCGTAAGTAAAATAAAAAATTTAATATATTTATATATAGTTAATTGAATGAATTTTAAATTTTTTATTCGATAAATTTTAATTTTAATCTTTTATGATTTTTCTTTTTTCTTCTCTTCATAATTAAAAATACGAAATATAAATAAAAATTTAAAAAAAAATTGTAATAAAGAAAAATTCTTTAAATCTTGATTTTTTGTTTGTAAAGTAGTATGTATTATTTTATGTTAATTTTCTTTTTTGAGTCAATATTTTTGTGCAGTTTTGATGCAAGAATCCAAACTAAGTATGATGAAAAGAAAATCTATTCAGGAAGCGATCAATAAAGGTGAATCTTTACCACCTGTTATGGAAAAATCAAAAATGGAAGCAAATAAACATAATCTACAATATCAGGCAAGATTAATAGATTATGATATTATATTAACTAAAATATTAATGCATATATATAACTAAAATATAAATAACATAAATTAATAAAATTGCATAGGTTTTGATGCCGACTGTATGGAAGAAACGATCAAAAGATATGATTGTTAAAAGTGGCGCGTATGAGAGAGAACAATATAGAAGATTATCTCCTTTGCGTAAGATTATATTGTTTTATTTACATATTTTTTTATATTAGAAATATGAATGAATAATTTATAAAATAATATTATTTATATAATCAAATAATTTCATATTTCATATTTTATAAAATTCATGATCTGAAATCAAATTTAGAAAATATACTATAGATAAAACTATGTTTTTCTTTTTTTTTCATTAAAATATAGGTAATAAAGAGAAGCAAAAGCGTCATTTAGCAAGTATGATGGCTTATGGAAAAGATATAGAAACTCCTCGTGAATCAAAGATTCTTCATAAAACAAAACGAGAATCAATTATTTCTGATAATGATCCCATTGATGATTGTAAGTTAATGTAATAAACACTTATTATATTATATTATATCTGCATTTAAATTTTTTTTTCTTTTTTTATCCATTTTTTAGTGGTACGTGGAATTCAAGAAAGAATGGAATTTTTAAATGACATGGAATGTCTTGGAATGGGCAAAAAATATCGTCCTATAATACAACAAGAAGTAGCGCATAAATTACGATTGATTGAATCAATAGATAAGCAAAAATGCAAGGAAATCCGAAAAGAAATGAAAGAATTTGAGAAACCATTGCCAAAACCATTTCCTTTGGGACAGCTTGATGAGAATTAATAATTTTTATAATTATAATTTTCAATTTTTTATATACAACTCTCTAATTTATATTTTTTACAAAGTTTATAATATTTTACAGTATTATATAATATTTTAGATAAGACAAATAATAGATATAATAAAATAATCGGATAAAAAATTGGAATAATAGTAAAGTATGTATATATAATAGTATATAAATATATAAATCATTTACATACATTAAATTATCAATGAATCATTAATAGATTTACATTCATATAGACATTAATAATTATATAATTTTAAAATTACATAGAAAATAACATAAATTTTTTTTCTTGAAATTAAAATCTATATCCATAATAATAGAATTAGAATTTCCCGCGCTTGAAACATATAGAGCCGCTAGTATAAGTAGGACGTGTAAGAGGGCGCATGCGCGGCGGGAGAAATAAGAACGGTCCGGTCGGAGAAATCGCGCTGATCGTCAGTTTTGCGCCACACGGCAATGGCGTATGTTGTTGGTATATTTGTGTTGTGGTTGGTATTTCGCCGACAAGTCATATTGTCATTTCATCAAAATACACAACGCGAGTTTACCTAGAACATTGTTTCAAAGACGATTGTGTATACGTAACTGTATTTTCGAAAAGCAACAGTGCAATCATCTCACAGGATCCCGGATGATCTACAAGTGATCCAATATGGCGTCGACCGATCTGTCGTTCGGTAAATGATGAACCCGTGTACCGTACGCACCTTTGACAAGGTCTTTCCGAGGTCGTCCGGTTTTTAAGAGCAACGTGTATCCCTTTTAATGTTGTCGAGCGTCGGTAGCTCTTTCTCTTTCTTTTTTTTTCATTATAGCATTATATTTATATTATGTTTTATTTATATAAGTTATTAGTAAATTTAACATACTTTTTGTAAATTTAACATTCCATTATTTATATTTCATTCTATTTATTTTATTTCGTTATAAATAAATTTTTAAATATTTTATATTTGAAGTTTTAAAATATCATTGAAAAATTCGTTAAAAAAATATTATCTTATTATTTCATAAATAATCATATTTGTTAAGAATAGCTATTCAAATTTAATAGAATTTAATGAAATTGTAATTTCATAACATCGATTATTGATATATTGTTATTCATTTAAAATTAACATTAAGTTAAGTTAATTAATTTACGTAATAATAATTCTTATCATAAATATTTGACATTTTTCTATTTTTATTTGAATAAAACTCGAATAAAAATTAATTTGTTTTCTTCGAGCTTTAATATTTATATTTTTGTGAAAAGTGAAATTTTACTCGCGAAGTGATATTTTTTTATTTTGCTTCTTGTCACTATACGAACCAGGCTGCATACCGGCATTCTACAGAGAAGTCTACGAGAAGATTTGCTCTTCTACGAGTGGAAATGTGGAACGAGAGGTGTTTAAATCCCTTCTTGTCAAATCCCAGCTGAGCAGTTCCGTTCTCAGCCAGGTATGTCTTTTTTTCGTCTTGTTCTTATCTCTTTCCCCATGTCGTTCAGTAACTAGTACGTATATACTTATAGTTACAAAGATAGAAGAGAGAGTACAGTGCCTTTAACTTTATAATTTCTTCGCACGACGCGCTTAGGTTAATGCTACCGCTGTAGCAGTGCATTAACTCTTCTTCCGTATCAGATGACGGTTAATCATTGATGCATATTAAATAAGAATCGTTTTTAATGAATTGAATTAAAATTAATAAATTCATTTTATTAATTTTATAATTAAATTTATAATGAAATTTTATATATATAATATAATCATATAGTATAATCATAATTAAATTTAATTTATTCAATCAATATTTAAAAGAATAATCAATTTAAAATTTTTAATTATGTGATACTTTATTCCTTCGTTTCATTATTAAATTTAAAATTCATAGAATATGCTTATTTTAGTTTAAAATGTTGCTATTGTGTATACAATATGAAACTATGTACATATTTTTAATGAATAATTCTAAAGCTAAATAAAATTTAATGAAATATAATAAATGAGAAATATTGTTGATTTTCATACAATTTATATTGTGTTTTTAATGAATATGTTTGAAAAAAATAATGATTAATCAATATTAAATTTTTATACTTGTATACTATTAGAATTTTCTAAAGAACGATGACTCATTAGAAATCTTAAGAAATTCTTCCTATTAATAAGCGACTACTTTTAAATTGAAAAAACAATTATTGTCAGATCAATCTTGTTGAGAATAATATACTTTATTAATATTAAATGACAATCTTTTTTTCGTAGTATTAATAGTTCCATTTTTTAATTCTAGATTTTCATTCCACACAATTTTAATATGTTTATTTAAAATTTTTATATTTTTATTTATATACTATATTTTATCGTATATTTTATAATAATTATAGATATACATTTTATATAAAATGGATTATCTAATTAATAATTCTTGGTATTTATAAATATATTGATAATTTATAGATAGAAAAAATAGTTTATAACATAATAAACTATTTAGAAGAACAAACTAATAAAAAAATTTCTCATTAAAATTTATATCCTAAAAATATTAAGAATTATAATCTATTTTCCTCAACATTCTCATTAAATAATATATCAAATACGATATTAAATATTATTGTTGAAACTTTCATACGTAAGGTGTAGTTTTTTTCAAATATAATAAATAATAATATTTAAACAATATAATATTTTAAAAAATTCACAAAAAAAAATTACTACGAAATGTTCAGTTCCTTTGTGATTTTTTGTGATTTTGAGGAATCTAATTTCTTTTCAAACACTTAATTCATCTAAAATTCTCTTTCATAATTAAATCTACTTTTGTATACAATTTATTCTATAACAATAAAATGGATCATTAGTAGACAAACACACATCTTGACACAAATTATATAGTACATACATTAACGAGGTTAGATAACGAAACGAAATCATACAACGGTACACAAACTACGTGCCCGAAACAGATAATAGGTTGAATACATTTCTCGTATAGCGGTTTTCCCCGTGGAAAACCGTTTCAGAATTTTTTCTTCTTCTTTTCTTTATTGTGAAACGATGATTAAATGCTGAAAAATATATCGTTCTTATTTTATCACAAAAAAAAAGAAAAAAAAAGAAAAGCAAATAAGATTTAGATCATGCAATCATTTCTAGTCGCATGCTATTTGGTACATACGGTACGTCTGAGTCACTGAGGTCACATGAAATACGCATTATTATGATATGATTCAACGTTTTACAATGCGTAATTCTATTCAATTATTTATTGGATAAAGAATGAATTTTAAAAATTAATTATTTTTATGGATTAATTTTAATAGAAATTAAATTTAGAGGTGATTTAGAGATGATAGAAAAAGAAAAAAGAAATTGCATATTTTTGATATTGCGTTAGATTAGTGATTTATTAAGAATTCAATTTTAAGAATACATACATATTGCATATTAAAGTATTTTGAATTATTTCGTACATTATTTCATTGAAATAATGCTTTTTAGGATCTTTTATGATTATGAAATGATGAAAATATTTCATATTTATTAATAAAATAATTAATATATTTAAAATTGGTTTTTACTACTTTAAAGTTTTATTACTTTTAAAGTAAGATTTTTATACAATATTTAATTTTTATTTAACTTAACAAATGAATGACTTCAAAAGATATATCTTTCCCCGACACTTAAAAATATTTTTTAATATTAAGTGTATATTTTATCCAATGTTGCAAACATATTTTAGATAAATAAAACTGTAAAGTATGGAACAAGATAAAATACAATAGCTTCGTCCTTGAATAAATCAATTATGTATATTTTACACGTTATTTATTTTAAAAGGATTATGCAATTTCAAGGCTACTTTTTATATCATTCTCGCAATAGCTTTATCCTTCATTGAAAATTCCTTTATCTAAAATGTTTATTTTGATATTATTTTTTAAATATAAATTTTATATAAAATTATATCTATATAAATTGAAACTATTTTGTTTTAAAAATTCCATGCTTTAATTTAGTCACTAATCAGTAAATCGTCGCTGTCATTTTTAATTAATGACCTTTAGCATTTCTTAATAATATAATTATTATAAGTCATATCATATTACTATAATTCAAAATTAATAATAAGATTGTATTAATTTTCATAATTTCTTTTATTTATGGGAATATCACATTCATTTGGAGGCAAATTGTTTAAATATTAATAAAGGGGATCGCAACTCAAAGATAATTGAAAAACACCGGTCTGAATTATATTTTTATTTTAAAAACTTTTCAATCATTCATATGGATAACCGATTATCATTCGTAATTATTTTAAGGTCAATGAATAAAATTTCTTTTCATGAAGATTACATTATCCTGTGTCTGCTGTGTTACAGTATCATTATTTTATCATTAGCACGCCCGTTGACGATAGTCTCTACGGACGCCCCTTTGTAATAATAGAAGATTGCATAGCAGGGTCAACTATAAACACTTTAAAATAATATAACTTATAAATGTTGAATGCCATTTTCATATATTTCAAAATGAAGACTACACAAAATATTTTTTATTTTTTATAAAAATTTTTTTAAAATTCAAAAAATTTATAAAAAATTAATAAACAATTAGTTGGATATTATCATATAGAAATATACGTATATTTCTATTATTCTCTTGAATATTTAAAAGATATTTATTATAAAGATTTACATTGATGGTTATTATTGATATTTTAAGAAAATTTAAATTTCAATCTTCATATATATATTTATTTATTATTAGAATAAAGAAATTTATAGATATATATGTCCAATAGAATTTTTATTTCAATATTTCTTCAATATTGTCCAATTAAAGATCAGTTACTAGTAATAGGGGACGAATACTCTTAATATCATCTGACCCCTGATAAAACTAACTATAATATCAATAAAATATTGAAATGAAAGTTGAGATTCAAATTCGAAAAAAGTATTAATAACATTTCATAAACTTTA